GAGAGAGAGAGAGAGAGAGAGAGAGAGAGAGAGAGAGAGAGGGACAGAGGCAGAGAGAGAGAAGTGATTAACTCTGAATGTAAATTGAAGTATAATTTTCTCACTTTGTTTTTCTTTTTATATAACATGGCTAATATGGAAATAAGTTTTGCATGATTTTACATATATAACTGATATCATATTGCTTGCCTTCTCAACAGGTGAAAGAAGTGGGGGAGAAGGGAGAGAATTTGGAATTCAGAATTTAAAAAGAAAAGAATGTTAAACACAAATAATTATTAAATTACTTTTTAAAAAGGAAGTGGTACTATTGAATTCCAACATGGAATGGGCACAGAACAAACAAATGAAGAACATAATGGATAAGCTACACAGGTTTCAACAACAGCTCTCTATAGGGGGAGGGGCAGCGAGTTAGAATAGAAAGAACTCTGATTCTGTAATTGGAAGGCCTGAGTTCAAATATTGCTTCTGATGCTTAATATGTAACGTTTGGGCAAACCATTCAATGTCCCTGGGCTTCAGTTTCTTTATCTGTAAAATGAGGGAATGAGGCTAAATATGCCTTCTTCTGAAGTCCCTTTCAGGCCTAGGTCTGTGTGTCCATGAGCCTCACCTAAATTCCAAGCTCTTCTGCTTGGTTTTCAAGGACCTGTATGTATTAACCTGCCCTTACTCTACTGATCTAACTTAATTTTGCCCGTGCCTTAGTGACCACCCTCCACACCATTCTGCTTTATTCATTGTTTTCCATATATTTTATGCTTCTTTCCCGCCTTTATGCCTTTGTTTATACTTCACCTTCATCTCTGGACCATGATTCTATCCATTTCTACTTATCCAATTTTTACTCAACCTTTGAGGTCCAGGTCAATTCTTACTTCCTCCATGAAACCTTTTCAGACTCTTTCATTCCGTATTCTCCTTTCTCTGACCTTCTATTCTAATTGATATTATGTAATTTAGCACTTATTTGTCAATTATGACTGAAATTAAATAAGCATTTGCCAGGAATCTACATATACTTATGAAATCAAAAGTCTAGACCACTTCTAATCCACTCAAAGAAATTTTCTCAGGGATGTTATTTTATGTATTCAATCAATCAACAAGCACTTACTTGTGCTTCCTACATGCTTGACACCTGATCAAGTGTTTGGAATACAAAGACAAAAATGAAACAATCCCTGACCTCAAGAACCTCGTCTTCTATTGGAGAGAAACAACATGTACTCTCACCATCTGAATATAAGTTCCTTGAGATCAAGAACCAAGTCTTACACTTTTTTTCCCCATTCCCCACATAGTGCAGTACTGTATCTGGCACCCGACAGGCACAAAAAACATGGTGCCTTATTAAGAGGGCAGTGTTTTCTTCCTGGACATCTATCTCAAAAGTTAAAGCATATTCCCTAACCCTTAAGAGCTTCCCTTAATAAACTTCCAGAGAAGAACTTGAATCTCAACCACCAACAGGCACATGAAAAAATCTCTTGATCACAAGTCAACCTATCATATATTTGAAAGCCTGAAAACCATGATTTGGGAATAATCACCCATTGCCTTTAATGACCTATACTTCTACCCTGATCCATCTATTCAGATAAACAAAGGTTGATTCTATTTCTATCACATGGAATTCATTCTCTCTCTTTCCTCTTGGACTCTCTTCCTCTAAAGGAAATGGTAAGATCACTCTACTCACTTAAGATGTATCTAACTATTTTATTGAAAGCATATCACTGAATAAAGTAAATTTATCTAGATTAAAGCTTTAATTTCTCTTCATATAACAGTTTCCAAAGTGGGGGAGGGGCTAGTCTCTTTTTTGTGATATCATATTAGCTTTGGTTTCTTTAAAGCAAGGATTTTTAAAATTTTTGGTGTCTTAATCTTTTTTTTGGCAGTCTCATGTAGCCTATTGACCCCTCCTCAGACTAATGTTCTGAAATATATAAAATACACAGAATTACAAAGAAAACTAAATATAAGTAGAAATAAAGATACGGAGTTTTTTTCCCCCATCCAAGTTTACAGACCCTGTGGGGGTATATGGATGCCAGGGTGAGAACCCCTGCTTTAAAGGAATGCCTGTACTCAGTCTTTCAAGGTCATATCCTCCTTTTAAATTTATCATCTCTAATTTTAATTTACTTAAGCTCATTCTTCTGGAAATGGAAGAACAAGTAAGGTTCAACAGGTAAGATGCTGCAAAATCAGCAATCAAGAACAGAACTTTACACCCAGACCCAGGAGAAAAAGAGGCTCAGAAGATGACTTAGGAGACACTTATTGAATAGATACATAAAAGGAACAATGTCAGTATTTTTTGTTTGATTTATAAAAAGACCCTCTTATTCATCCCAAGGAAGAAACAGCATTTTTATCTTGTTCTTGACCATACAAAAAGAGAACTCTCTCCTCAGATGAACCAGACCTGGGTATTTTCAGCTGTGGTCAGTTGCTTACCTGAATCCCAGTAGGTTTGGAGATGCAGAGTAAACAAGGCTATAAATCAAATGCAATGCATTTAATACCTCAATGCATTGCAAATTGATCTGCAATACTGTTGACTTCAAGTCACGTTTCTAGTGAGACATGTCACATTCAAGAGGAAGGGAGGGAGAAAGGAAACTCAAAGTTCTTCTGTTGTGTGCGGTTCCAATGACTGTTTGGCTATTTAAGAGGCATAGCCAGATTTCCTTCAGGTGAAATTCTTTTGACTCTTAGTAATTTATCAAGTTGGAAACATAGGTATTTAAAAGACACAGTTCTCATGGTTGGCATTAGATCTGAAATATTTGGTGGGCAACTTTTCAAGGAATAAAAGCTGCAAAATGACTTGAGTTCCATTCAGTGTGCTGTGGTACACTAATGGACAGACATTACTTTGACTGAAGGGGAGCGCTGCCAATGAGCATCACTGAGATCTAAGCTACCACACAACAACAACATTGCCTGAGCTTATTTCACTCATTTGTCAAAGTAGGACATTATCCCAACTAAGGGAAGAAAAATGGAGACGGGGAGTGGAAGGGAAGGAACTATTTAAAAGTAAAAGCTCTGCTCCAGTCTCTACTGATAATTGAGCTTGGCCGTGGATAATTATGGCTCCCTTCTGCCATTTCCTGATACCATACTTGGCTTTCCTGGAGGCAACACTTTCTCTTCTCCAGCTGACAAGCTTGGCTATTTCTGGCGGGATAAATTTGCTTTGTCTCCCGTCTACTGCCTTGTCTTTTTTCCTAATGGGGAGAAGTGAATGCTGGTGGTTAGCAAAGCGTCAGGAGTCCTGGCCTGCTAACCTCAGAGATGGCACCTGACTCCTGGGAGCTCAGTAGCCTCTCCCTTGAACTTCCTTCCTAAAAGCACCAAGAGACTGACTCTCATGAAAACAAGTAGCAGAAAATGTCCTCCTATCTCTATTTTTTCTCCCCTCTTCCCCTTCTTAAACCTTTCTAAACTTTTAAACTGGTTTTTCCATCACCATTTAAAATAGAGAATTTAGGGCCAGTTAAGGGATTCTTCTGTTATTTACAATATTTTATGTCATCTAGCTAGATGATACATGGGAGAGCATCTTATAAAGGAAGGAGCAGCTAAATCTAGAATATGAAATCATTCCCAAATCTGACGATCTGTCCTCTACAATCCTATCTCAGGAAGTACTGCAGGTGCTTGCCTGTGCAAGTATTATTTACTTAAAATGTAAAACAGAAAAAAGTTTACCCCTTTGCAGGCCATGTGAAACTACCTTTCATCAGAGAAGAGGAAGATATATTTCTCTAGAATGGAATTCTTTGTTGAAAGATGATGGGAGTATATTAAGACACAACCAATATGTGGGTTTATTTTAGTAAATTATACTTTTTTAAAAATATAAGTAGTGGTAATGGGCCAGCCAAAGGTTTTTGGCTGAGACTAGTATTTTACTAATCAGAGTGCATGCATTTGGATATTAGACAGACAGTAACATGCACGCTCAAATTAAAAATCAATAGTCAAACATGCTTGTAAATATGCCATAATTCCCTCCACGAACTAAGTGAAAAGACTACTAGATTAGCAAGGAGAAGACCTGGGTGAGGCTCCTTTTAGCTCAGACATCTGGTGCAAACCATTTAATCTCCCTGAGACTCAGTATCCAAATCGGTGACGTGTACCTTCATCACCACAAAGTCAGCCAATCAGATGATGAATTTTCTCACAGCAATTCAAAAAGACCATCTCCTAAGACAAAACAGAGTATGAGATGGACTAAGATGAATCAGAGTTCGTGGAATGTATAGCCATCCCCAACTCAACAGGTCCTTTCAAGTTATGCTTCCTGCTATTGTGAGGATCAAGCGAGAAAATGTGCAGACCACCTTATACACCCTAAGCTCCAAGTAGCAACTATTATTATTGTCTTCAGCAAATGCTGAAACATGTCATGTAAAAAAAATACATACTTTTGGGGTGATCTGTTATCAACTTCAGCCTTCAACCGCAAATTCTCCCTCATCAGGCCACCATTTTCCAATTTCAGTTTCTTATTTGCCTGAAGAAAGAAAGTGAAACATAATAAAGCACAAGTTATGACTAAGTGCTCTTGGAATATCTATAGTAAGTGATGTTTCTGTTTTTAAAGAGACATCAGAAAACTACCTGTGAGAATTGTGTCCTCACAAACGAAGCCATCAATGTAAAATCACCACTAAGAATTGCTTTTGGAGATTCAACAGGACATATTTTATTCATATTCCCAAAATACGGAGCAAATCTCCTACTGAGGGAGAAAACTGCAATGTGATGTTCATTAGCACAGGCTTATTAAGAGAATGTCATAATGGCAAAGCCATGTTTGTTTGTTTTCCTGTTTTTCAATGTGACTTAACACTTTGAAACATCACAACATTACCATGTGCATGTATCAGCAAAATTAGTACTGAATGATTCTTCTTCCTTCAAGCAACCAGATTATCCTTTTTTTTATTTGTTTATAGAAAAAATTTTCCAGAGAATATCTATCCAATAGCAATATTCCTTCCTGCCCAACTAGCTGTATGATAATGGGTAAATCACTCTCCCTCATCTGTAAAAGGAGAGAGTTGTTCTAGATTAGGGGCAGGGAACCTCCGGCCTCAAGGCCACATGTGGCACCTCTAGATTCTCAAGTCGGCCCTTGATGGAATCCAAATTTCACAGAACACATCCCCTTAATAAAAGGATTTATTCGATAAAACTTGGGACTCGGGGCAGCCAGGTGGTGCAGTGGATGGAGAAGTGGCCCTGAAGTCAGGAGGACCCGAGTTCAAATCTGGCCTCAGACCAAACACTTGCACTTGACACTTAGCTGTGTGACCCTGGGCAAGTCACTTAACCCCAACTGCCTAAAAATCAAAAACAAAAAAAGCCTTGGGACTCAAAGGGCTGCACTTGAGGAGCTAGAAGGCCAGATGTGGCCTTGAGGCCACAGGTTCCCCACCCTTGGTCTAGATGGCCTCTAGGGACCCTTTTAACTCTTGATCTAAGATCCCATGACTGCCCCAATGAACTGCTGAAATCAATGGCTTCAGGAGGCACTCTCTAAGAGGTGAAAGCAAGGCAAAGCAGAAAGACCACTGGATTTTGAGTCAAAAGATCTGCTACCTGTGAAACCCTCCCTGTGACTCTACCTGAGTGACTCTTCACATCTCTCTGTGTCTCAGGTGCCTTGTCCGTAAAATGAAGGAGTTGGACTGAGAAAGAACATCTGATCTAGAGTGACTAGACATATATTCAAATCTTGAATCTGACAGTTACTATGTGACTTTGGACAAATTGAAGTCTCCCGAGGCCTCAATTTCCTCAAAATGGAAATGAGGTTGGATTCAGAGCTTCTTAAACTTTTTCCACTCCACTTTTCGAGTTTCTGCAGCATTTGCTGGAGTTGCTGGGCATGACAGCATACACAATGTTTTGCATGCTTTGTGTTCAGAACTGAGGCTGCGGTGAAGTTGTGTGATGCAACACAGGCAAGCGCTACCAGAAACACCTCAGATTCATTACATGCTTGACTTTTAGCTATTTTTTTGGTCATTGTGCATTCAGAAACCTTTTACTGTTGCCAAATTTTTTGAGAACCCATGTGGGGTCACAACCCACAGTTTAAGAAGGGCTGGATTAGATCACCACTGAGGTTCTTTCCAATTCTAAATCTAAGATTCCATGACACAAAACATTCGGTTAGTGTACTTTCCTCTTTCGATCTTATGATATTCTTTAAATACCAAACAAAACACTCTTAGCAAGAGGAGAAATTCAAGATTTGGAGTGCTTGTTTCCAACAGTATGGTTTTAAATAAACAAAAAGATAATTTTCCAAATTTTGCTTTCTTTCTTTCTTTTTTCTTTTTCCTCAGAAGTGTGATAGTCAGCATGGTCTAAAAGAAAGACAATTCTCCTTTTGAGGCAGGAGACCAAGGTTTAAGTTCTTCCTCTGACAGGCCCTGGTTGTGTGACCATGAGCTAGTAAAGTCAATTTCCTGCAGACCCCATGAAATTCTCTAAACCACAATACAAAAAAAACACAAACACAAATCTAAACTACAACACAAAGAAGGTACTGATCTATGACAGATAAAGGTTTTCAATAGTTGCTCTGTGCATCAATAAAATCATGATGGGGGAGGGAAGGAGAAAAGGATGGGGGCATTTTCCTTTAAACAAATGAGACATTTGTAACATTCACAAACTGACTTTCTGGGGTCTTATCCTATGTTAAGCTGAAAACTAAGTTTTGGACCCTGGAGGAGTTACACATTCACTGAATTTTGGAGTTGGAAGGACCCTCAGAAGCTATCTAGACCCGGAGTTGGACCTTAACATTTTTTTGGGTTATGGACTCTCCTTTGGCAATCTGGAAAAACTTAAGACCTCCGTCTCAGAATAAGGATTTTTAAACGCGTAAAACACATAGAATCACAAAGAAAACCAATTATTTTGACATAGTGATTAAAGTATTAAAAACAACATGTTCTCAGACACAAGGTTAAGAACCTTTGCTCTACATGGACCTATACCTCAACAAGACTCTCTCTGTAACAGCCCCAGCAAGTGTCCATCCAGCATCTGCTTGAAAACCTCTACTGAGGGGGAGCCCACTAAGGCAGGAGGCAGAACCCTGCACTTTCCACAATTCTATTAGTAATTTTTTTTTTCTTGCCTAAAGCTGAAATCAGCCTATATAGACTATCTCTCCCTTGGGCAAGTTACTGAACCTCCGTGGGCTTCAGAGGTCCCTTCTATCTCTAAACTTAGGAGTCTATGAACCTTTGGACTTCCTCCCACTGATCCTTGCTCTGTCCTGTGGGCGCAAAGTGAAGACATCCAATCCTTCTTCCACATGAAATCTCCTCAAATACTTAACAGACACTTCTCATGACGCCCCCTTTCCCATTCCTCTCTTCCATTGTATACGGTCAAAATTTGTGAAAATAGCTCTGCCATGGGCAAAATATATTAAATAAGCCTTAAAGAAGGTAAAGTATTCCAAAGCTGCTTGTGTTAAAAATTACAGTAGGCTCACAAAAGTTACTGTCCTCTTCTGCACCCAATATTCCTAATTCTCCCAATCAGTCCCTACCTCCTACTAATATTTTATCTTCCCTGCCTCATTCCTTCTTCCCTCCCCCATGCAAGGAATACAAATCCCCCAAATGATCAGAGAAATGAGCAATGATAAGAAGGGGAGACAGAGTAATGAACAGTTCTTTTAGGTTTAAAGATTGATTTTCCTTAGGCCTGTCCTTGTTTTTTTGGAGTGCTGGACACCTGTTTATCTGCCTGGTTATAAAACAATCAGGACCACTGAGGGTTAATTCATTAAGTGACTGATAAACACCATTACTGCCCCTCCAAAGACATAGAGAAAGCCATTTACTTCCTCATACTCACAGACAATGAATTAAGTTCTCAAGCATAGCACCACGGAAAGAAGCACTTAGCAAATGCTTTTTGATGATGCTGACAAGCTTAAATTAGAAACTAACTCATTTAATTTCTTTCTCCACCCCCTCACTATAGCTCTATGCTGTGACTTGGACTTATCACTGGCGTGGTATCAGTTAATTCTCAGAATGGGCTGCTCTTCTCCCTCTTAGACCCAAACCTGCCTCTGCCATAAGATCATCTCAGATTAAGGTCACCTACCCACCCAATACTGTGCCCTTACTCTGAATCCTCACATCTTTACGTACATTATTTTGCATCCATTTTTTTCTTTGTACTTTTTTGATTGTAAATACCTTGATAAAAGGGGAGAGATTGCATTTTCTAGTTTTCTATTTCCTCTGGTCTACTTTCCCCTCTCCCCCCAAGGGCTTAGTAACTTGCATACTGCATAGACTACAGGTCTTTATTAGAACTGGGACAGGGAATGGGCCTGTGATTTCATTGATGCAGGGAACCCTCAGCAAGTCAGCATCTTCTCAGTAACTTACGGTTTTGCCTGGAGCAATGGTGTCAAACAGAAATGAGGGCCACTAAACCCTTCATAAGGATCCCTGTGGGACACATACTGACTGAGAAAGCCACACATGCTTATATAGTTTTTTTTTTTAATTAATCCATCAACATATTAAGATCATATATGAGCTCTATTTTAATCTGTTCAGGTTGCACTTGGGAATGTTGTGGCTGAGTGTGTGATACCTCTGGCCTGGAGCACTGAAAGGGAAGTGACTTGAACAAAGTCACCCAGCTAGTACGTATCAGAAAAGGGACTTGATGCCAGTCCCGAGACTAGCCAGACCACTACTGACTATGTTACAATGCTTGTCTATTAGGTCCTCATTAACCACGTAAAGCAGATTTGAGGTCTTTCCCATGTTTAAAATGTCTTTAGGTCCATAATAGTTTAATGCCTGAACATTAAACAAACAGGAGACAGCCAAGTATGCTATGTATGGCTTTTTTTTAATTAAAAAGAACAAATATTGGATATTTCTGTTTCCTGAATGTATTTTATATACGAAAACATTTAGTGCAGGAAATACAATGAAGGGTAAAAAAAAGTAAGAGAGCCTAGATGTAGTTTTATTGCTTGATATCACCAATAGGGAATGGTCAGTGAGCAAGTCAGTGGATTATAAAACCACAGCTGCCATTTCTTCATCTTTTTTTTGTTCTCTCCTCACAAAAAAAAACAAAAAACAAAAAACAAAAACCCAAGATGTCAACTGTGCAGGCAATGCAGAATTTTAAAAACACATGGTTCCCCCACCCCCAAAAGCTGATGCACACTCAGCGTGATTATGTCTGTAGGCCTTTTCTCTAGAAACTGTAAATGCCCTTCCTTTCATCTTGGGCACCAATGTCCTAATAAAGCATATATTCTGCACGTGGGTATATAGTGATAACCAGGTTACAACAGCCTGAGGCCAAGCAGGCTAACGGACCTAGAGTCTTTCCTGCTCTCTAAGTCAAACCCAAGGTCTCATCTTTAAAATTTCATCTGGAGCTGTTTGGTAATTTTAGGGCAAGGAAGCCAATTCAGAAAGTCAATGTAGGGAACAATGGCTGGGCACTGGACATGTCTAATCTGCGCCAACAAAACTATTTCAACTCATTGGAGCAGATCAGATCTCTGTGGAAGAGGCAGAAGACTGGAGGTCGGTTCTGAGTTTCAGCCTCATTTCTTACTATACTGAATTTATTGGGACAGACTCTGGAATGGGCACAACGCCCAGCTCTCCTGGGGCTTCCCTCCTGACAATGTGGACTTCACCATTATGTCTCAGCTTCCTCTTTGGAAGAGTCCACCTTCCTGCCCACTCCTCCATTTTGGGTAAATGCCCAGGCCAGCCATCCTCCATACCTCTCCCAGCACCGCTCAACACTGACTCATACTGCACTCATACCTCCACACAGGGCCCTTCCCAACCCCCCACTCACCAATGGCCCCTACTTTTCATCTCCCTTTTTATGTGTTATCTTTCCAAGTTCCTTCAAGGCAGGGCCTGTCTTTTTTTTTTGGCTTGTGTTTGTGTTCCCAGTGGGTAGTACAGTGAATGGCCCATAGTAGACACTTAATAAATATGCCTGTTGACTTGACTGACAAATATCCTGGGGTAAAAAGGTGAGGATGTCACTGGAGTGACAACAGGAACATAACCAGGACAAAGAGTCATCCTGTAGGAAAGGGATTAAACTTGATCTGCTTGGTGCCAGGAGGCAGACCAAGAAGAAATAGGTAAAAGTTGGAGGGAAAATTAAGCCTGATTTTGGAAAAACTTCCTAACAATTTTTTTTAAAGACCAGACCTGTGATTTCATTAATACAAGGAATTGCTGGTGGGGAAAGGTACTTTATCAACACAGACCTACACCAGTAATGCAACCAGAGTATGAGAAGAGTTTGGGGGATCCTGACAGGTTAAATGACTTGTTCAGTCTCATACAACATGTGGCAGAAGCAGCACTTGAACTCAGGGTTTCCTGACTCCAAGGCATGCTTTTTTCTTGTAACTGCTTTATGTTATCCTGGGCTCAAAACAAAACAAAATAAAAACCTAACAAATAAAACCTAATCAAAAGTAGGAGGCCCTGGGAATGGGGGGGTGGGAAGGTCTACAAATTGGGAAGCTGCACAGTCTCTTCCTGGACACACTGCAGAGGAAATGTCTTGTTCATGGAGAGCTTGGACTAGATGGTCTCTCAGGTTCTGTCTAGTTCCAAGAGACTACACTTTAGGCAACTGCTCACAAGGAATGGCACTGGGATTAGACTGAGACCCAAGTTCAAGTTCTGAATTAGAGTTCCTGGCCTACAAAGTTCACTAGTTCTGTGACCTCAAGCAAACTGCTTGGATTTGAAACTCAGTTTCCTCATCTGTAAAGTGGGGATTGCCACCCCTTAGGCTACCTATCTCACAGGGGTTATTGTGAGGACCAGATGAGACAACTAATATGGTGCTTTACTATATTACAAAGGGATATATATTTATATATAAAATTTTAAATATATAAAATTATATATACATGTTAAAATTGTATATACATACATGTGTGTATATATTATATGTATATATAAAAACATAAAACACACACAAATACACATATATACTGCTTATTAGAGTGAAAAGAGTCAGAGGAGTCTGAGGATGAGGGTTCAAATCCTACCTCTTATGCTTAGTACCTGTGTGATCTTGGTAGTCACTTAGCTTCCCCGGGCCTTCATTTCCTCATCTGTAAACGTAGGGGCAGGAACTAGATGGCTTCTGAGGTCCCTTCTAATTCTAGATATATGAACCTACGTATATGTAACATAGCTCCATGACTATATCAGACGCCAGGCTACATCCCTAATTCCAGGGGTCACTGTTCTGTCCACCATACTAGTAGATGAAGCATGGAATACTAAAGAAAAGTTAGCCTTGGAGAGAAAAAGACCTAGATTCAAGTGTCCCTCCCCTTGACCCCCTACTAGCTGCGTGACCTTGGGCAAATCACTTAACTTTAGAACATCTCAGGCAATAAAGACTTTAATTTGCAGAGCAGGTGATCTGCATCTGTATAAGACCTTTCCTCACTAGAAGGTTACCACATCAATAAAACAGGAACAGGTCACAAACAAGGAAGAAGGAGAAAAAAGAGCAGCATATTTTTCTTTTTGGGGTTCTTCTAAGTGCTTTTTTTCAGAAACTTTTCTCCCTCACGAATGGTTTGATAGTTCCACGTGATGCGGCTTCAGATTTGCCATGACTTCTGAAAGGAAATCTACCCTTATCATGGGATTCAGCGAGCCCGCTTGCAGCTTACCTCCTTGAGCTTGTCCACATCATCTTTCGCCTTTTCATAGATGTCATGAGCGGCTCGAAGCTTTTTTCTCCACTCTGACACGGTTTCAGGGGGAGGCTTACTTCTTTCCTCTAAGGCTGGCCGTCTTTCCTCATTCTGGTTGCCCAGGGTCAAAGGATCCAGAACAGACTTCAGCTGTGACTCTAGGCTGAGGTTCTTCCCTCGAAGCTCTTCTACTTCCTTCTGCAGGCATTCTATTTCATCCTAGTAAAACACAAAAGGGGAGACTCTTCATCAGGCCAAAACATTCCGTGAGCTCAGATGTACATGGCGATCCTGAAACGCCACGAGAACACAGCAAGATCCAGACAAAAGCCTCAAGGGCAGAGAAAGCATCTCGACAATTCAGAATCTTTTCCCGAGCTAGGAGCCACAAGTTCAGTTGACCTTTGCAAAATCTGAACTGGCAAATTATTACCTGAGCGGATTTTGAATTTGTGATTTCAAATAAAGATTTCAATTCTTTGATCTCATATGTAATATTAATAACTGATCTGTTACTACAGCCTGAGTTTACACCCAACTCCCAATTATTCTTCAATACAGTGACGTTGGCCTCCACGCTCTTCCTTGAAGAGGACACTCCTTTCCAGATTCTGAGCAGTCACTGGCTGTCCCCCATGCCCAGAACATTCTTCCTCACCACCTCACAGGCAAGAAGTCTTTTAGAATCCCCCCTAATGTTAGTACCTTTCCTCTGTTGATTATCTCCAGTTTATCCTGTACACAGCTTGCACAGACACAGCTATTGGCATACTGTCTCCCCCATTAGACTGAAAGCCCTCTGAGGGTAAGACTGTCTTGCCTTTCTTTGTATTCTCAGTGCCTGGCACACAGCAGGCATGTAACAAATGCTAGCTGACTGACTGCATTCAGCCCCTGAAACACAAATTTTATCACAACACTCTCTTCTCAACAAGCTTCACTGACTTCCTACTATAAATGCCTCCCTTTGGCATTAAGAGTCTTTCACAATCTGGCACTAATGTAGTCTTACTTTGCATTACCCTCACATACATATATTCCAATCAAACTGTCCTCCCTGTCATCTACTGGGCATGAAGTTATGACTTCTGCTTCTACACACATCCCTCATGCCTCCTCATCTGGGCCCCTCTAACACCTTAACCACCCATTAAAGGCTCAGCTCAGGGACCCTTCTAGATAAGGCTTTTCCTGATAATTCTCCTCCATATGACCAAAATTACTTGTACATAGTTTGTATTTACTTATCTTTGTGCACAGCATAGAAGGAAACAAGCTCTTTCATGGAAGGGATTGTTTTTACTTTTGTCTTTGTATCTTGCCTAGCACTTAGCACAATGCTGTCCCACAGTAGATGCATAATCAAATTGAATTGTGTTAAAAAAAAAAAAAGTCAGATCTCTAGCATGGAAACAGCTTCTAAATCAAAAGAATAGTCTCAGAAAAGATGGCTTTATAGATTTCCTGGGGGGTAGAGGGTGGGTGGAGGAGGGTAGAAATTCACTAAGAAGGATTATACATTTACACTTAAGTCTAGTGTTTTTGAAATTTTTGCCTCTAAAGCCTCTATATCTCCCAACCAGAAGTAGGAGGAAAAATCTTCTATCATTGCCTTTGATTTATACTTCTGAAATAACCTGTATAAGATAACTAACGTTTCTGGTGCAATTTTTTCTTAATGCTATTTTTAAATAAACAGTTCAGACATTCCAGGCATTCCAGTCATTAAATGACTGCCCTCTGAATTTGGGCCTGAGTGGATGATCCAAGACAATCCCAAAGGACTAAAAATGAAGCATAATATCCAGAGAAAGAACTGATATTGTTTGAATACAGATTGAAGCATGTTATTTTTCACTCTTTCATTCTTTTTCTTTTCTTTGAGTCTTCTAGTACAAAATGACTAACACAGAAATGTTTTACATGATTGCACATGTATAACATCCATCGGATCGCTTACCATCTCAGGGAGGGAGAAGGGGAAGAAGGGAAGGAAGGATAGAATTTGGAACTCAAAACTCTAAAAAAAAAAGTTAAAAAATTGTTTAAACATGTAATTGGAAGAAAAATAAAATATATTAAATGTTTTTAAAAAGAAAAGCAGTCTTTAGAAACTTACTCTGGCAAGTGTTTTGCTATATATAAAAACTAAGTACTATTATTACTCTTACTACTACTAAAATAATAATAAACAAATAAAAATGGTTTCTTTTGCTGCCATACTCAGGGTCTTTCAACCTTCACTGGGGACTTTCTTTCACAATAGGCAATAAAAATGAGAAAAAAAAAATGACTAATGTGGATGAATGACGAGAAATTCTTGTCTATAAAGGAAAAGTACTGCAATCAGGGAGTTACTGATACTATTAGAGAAATGTACAATTTCATTATGTGTGGTATTTCTGTACCATTTTGGGCATGATCTTTTGTCTCAACCAGAATGCTCCCACCATTTTCTGTAGCCTGCCCAGTTTTGTCTTTTGGTCCCCAAAGCCTAGGGTGGCACCTGGCACAGAGCAGCTATTTAAAGAAAGCCTTGTGTTGGACTGGACTGAATTACCTCGTATTCTCGATGGAGTAACTCAAGTCGAGTTTTCCGGAGGTGCTTTCTAACAGTGTGGCTAAGCATAGGTTCACTTTCACTTGTTCCACCTAGAAAAAAAAATAAATTTTGGAATCTAACAGAAATGACAGTGAAGAGCAGAATTCCAGCAATATTCCCTCCTCCCCCTTCTAAAAAAAAGCCCTTAATAATAATGGTAGTGACTGGATTGTTTAAAATATTTTAAAGTTTACAAAGCACTTTATGTACATTATCTCACTTGAGCTTCACAATATTTCTGTGGAGCAATGGAATGAGAGTTGGGTTTGGAATCAGGGGATCTGAGTTCAAATCCCAGATCTGCTAGGTATCACTTTCCTGACCTTTGGTCCATCATTTAACATCTCTGAGCTTTAGTTCCTCATCTATAAAATGAAAGAACTGGCTTAAATGGTTCCTAAAAATCCTTCCAGTTCTAAACCCAAGATCTTATAACTAGCTCTACAGATTTTTTTTTTTTAGTATTATTATCCCCGACTTACAGGTGAAGAAATTGAGGCTCCAACATGTTGTTAGTAGCAACTAATGTCAGATGTGAGAACAGAATCCAGACAGGTCGTCCTGAGTCCAAGTCCAGCCCTCTAACCATTATTACACACTGGCTCTCCCTTCTGCCCAAGCTACTGACCCCTGCATAAATCTGACCTTCTCCCAAGTCAACAAAAACATCTCCACCCCAACCTGCGAAGAACAAAATTTAGAGCAAATGATGAATGGCTCCGCCACTCTAAAAAGGCATCATACTAAAAGAAGCATCATATGAATATGGGTACTTGTCTCAAGGACAGGGGCTGGGCTTTTATTACCCATCATATACAGTACACTCTAGAGCACTTATCAGATGTTAAATAAGAATAAAACCAATTAGCTACTCAAACTTGCTTGCCTATTGGTAATACAATTGAAAAGATTAATGTCTGCTTTCATGCAGAATGCTAACAAACCAATTAGAATGGATTAAGAGTCACTACATTAATTGTAAACCCAGAGTGACTTGTTACAAATAAACTCAAAATAAATACTCTCTAAAAGATGTTAGCTTCCCCTTGCTTCTGTTCTATTCTGTCCTGCTATTTTTTATGTCATGGTAGAGAAAATGAAGACTTCTTTTACGTCAGGAAGTTTTATTTCATAACACCTGCTGCCTCCAGTTCCTTTATAACCAAAGACCTATTAGTACTAATTAAACATTCCTCTGAGATAATATACTATGATATAATACAAGATAATTTATATAACATAAATGGTGAAATAAACTACTCTGAATTTGTACAAAATTCTAGAAAGACTATACTGGAATTATTTTACCTTTCAAAGGTCACTTTATTCAAGAGAGCTAGAATCACAATTTGTTCATCACACACAACAAACTGAGGTAAGAAAAACAAAAAACCATGGAGCACAATAATGATGTCTCTGTTTCTCTTGGTTTAAATGCAATGTGTTTCTTTTAGTGACAAATGAATCTCCTCTGTTATCACTTTGACTGTCATTCCTCTCAATGGTTCCTCAATACCTAAAATATAATAAAAGTCAAACTTCTTTAGTCCACCACATAGACAATACCACCTTCAGAGTTTTAACTGATATTTCCTTTAAAAGGAGTTATTTACTATTCTTTGAACACAACCTTAATCTTTTTGTGTTTGATCATACTATTTTTTCTTCCTGGAATAATCTATACTATACTTCCATCCATTAAAAGAGCAAGGCAGCAGAATGGATGGAGCACTGGACCTGGAATCAGAAAGACCAGTTCAAATTCAGACTCAGATACTAATGACCTGTGTGACCCTATGCAAACCACTTAACTCTGCCCGCCTTGGTTTGCTCTTCTGTAAAAATGGGAAGAAAAGCACCTACTTCCCAGGGTGGTTGTGAGGATCAACTGAGACGATATTTGTAAAGCACTTCACAAACTTTAAACCACCACATAAATGCTAATTATTATTATTTTAAAATCTTAAAAAGCTTCAAATACTACTTCCTCTATGAATACTTTCTGTACCTACCTATTAAACTACTACAGCTCTTTTTTTTTTTAAATGTCTTCCTTATCACATACAACTAGTTTTGTAACTTTTCCTCCAAACAGAGCATAAATTCCTTGGGGGAAGAAGCTTTGTCTTACAAACATTTTGGATTGAATGAGATAACATACCTTTGCAAAGATAACTTATCTTTTACACTTTGCAAAACTAAAACTATTAGCCATTATTATTACACATAAGAGGCAATGTTGTATAGGGAACAGAAAGCTGGACTTAGAGCCAGAAGAGCTGGGCTGAGGTCCCCTCTCTGTCACATATTGGCTGTGTGACCCTGGGCAAGTCACTTAACTTCTCGGTTCTCTAGGCAACTCTCTAACACTGTAAGTTACAGGGAAGGTGCTGACTTGTATTGGCAAAGGAAGTTTCTTCACCTGGCAGTGCCCTATACTATTAAAATCACATATCCAGTCCCTATTATCACCCACAGTGCTAGCATATGTGAGGAATATTCAGTAAATGTTTGTTGATCCTGTAACATTCAACAATGATGAATAAACGATCCATATCTGGGTATGACGGCACCCAGAAAACACTGCTGCAATTTACTCACTTTAGTCTCCAGCCGAAATAGATATAACCAAAATGTAATCATACATGTGCACGTATACAGATATGTGTATATATGTACGTGTGTGTACATGCAAGTATTTAGGGCCCTTACCAATGATCTCCTTGCAGGGATTTTCAGGGGTGATGGGGACACGGCAAGCTGGGCACTGGCTATTGTTCTTCAACCATACATCGATACAAATAGAACAGAACACATGATTGTTGATGCATATGACAGGATGGCGGACCTTTAAAAAAAAGTTACATTGCTTTAATTTCTAAGGTCAGAAGTATAACCACAATTCAAATTCCATTCATTCATTCAAATCCCCATTTGGTTTGGAACTATTCATATGATTTTTTTGTCCAAGCACAAGCACGGTTGCTGCTCAGGGATCATAAAGAAGCTGTTTCTAACGGACCATGCTGTTCCTTACATACATGAAATTGACTGAAACCACCAGGCACATACCCTGCAATCTCTGCCATACAAAAAGTACAAGGAGCTTTGTTCTGTGGCTAGATTTGTGGCCAATAAGGCCTGTGGCTCTTTGTTCACTGATACATAACAATTTATCTAAAGCCATTTCCTCTTTAGTAAAATTCGTTTCCAATTCTGATTTCCAACCATATGCTACAGAATTAATGAGTGTGAAACAATATGAATTAGAAATACAATTTTCTAAATGTTAATATGATCTAGGTGATACCCAAATCATTAAATGCCTCTCTGAACCTATAATGCCACAGACAAAATTAAAATGATACAATTTACTCCTCAAGTGAGACATACTGGAAAGAGTTTAGGAGTGTCAATGGAGTTCCAATCATACCTCTTACCTGTCTATATTATTTTATTTTATTTTATTTGGTGATCTTATCAGCTTCTGGGGTTCTAGTATCATCTCTATGCTGATAAGTCTCAGATTTACTTGTCTAGCCTTAACCTTCCCAACTCACATCTTCAAATTATATTAGACATTCTAAACTAGATGTTCCTTAGACATCTTCCAACTCAAACTGTCTAAAATGAACTTATTATCTTTCTTCCCCAAAGCCTCATTTTCCCAGACTTCCACCACAATCTTCCCAGTCACCCAGGCTCACAAGCTCAACTGTTTATCAAGTTTATCATTCTCAACTCTTCACTCTCCCCTCCCCCCAATTCCCATCTGTAATCAAGTCCCGTTGATTTTGCCTTTGGAACGTTTTCAGCTATATCATCCCTTCTCTCCTCTGACACATTGCCTCTAGGATCAAATATAAAATCTTCTATTTGGCATTCAGAGGCTTTCCTAACCTGCCTTTCCAATTCTAATCTTCTGGCACCTCAGACCCCACCACATCCTCTTCAATCCAGTGATACTGGCCTCCTTCTTGTTCCTCAAACAGAGCACTCAATGTCCAGACTGAGGGCATTTTCACTGGATGCCCCTATGCCTGGAACGCTTTTTCTCACCTCTACCTTTTTGACTTCTCTAGTTTCCTTCAAATCCCAGTTAAAATCCCACTTTCCATGAGATGCTTTTCCTGTTTCCCATTAAATGCTAATGCTTTCCTTCTGCTGATTACTTTCAATGTGTCACTTATATAGCTTGTTTGGATATACTTGTTTGCATGCAATCTCCCCCATCAGTCTGTGAGCTCCAGGAGAACAAGGATTGTCTTTTGCCTTTCTTTGTATCCTTAATGCACAATAGGTGCTTAATAAATGCTTACTGATTGACTGACTGATACCTCTGCTTTTCTTTTTCAACTGTCTGTATGGCTTTGGACAAATAAACTATCTAAGCCTCAATTTCTTCATCTGTAAAATGAAAGGGAAGGGAGATGATAAACTAGATCTCTAAGGTCTTTTCCAAACCCTGTGATCTTTATATTTTTATAATACACAGGAATAATAAGAACACAGGCTTGTAGGATTTGGAGCTAGAGCAGGAAGATATTTTAGAAATTGTCCAGTCCAATTTCCTAATTTTACAGCTGAGAAAATTCAGTCCACAGCCAAGAAGTAACTTGTCCAAAGTCAGAGAAGTAATCGGAATTAATAATCACACAAATAATCAACTCAGCAGGCTTTTCTAGTAAATGACTGCCATCACCTGAATTCAGTTACTCAGACAGGAGCAATGGATAAGTAAATAGAAAGGGAGTCCTGTGATTTGCAAGCTATGGAGAATTTTACTCGAGTCTGAATCTCATTGAGCTTGGAGAAAAGACTTGGGTAGTTGGTCATTTGTCTTCAAGTATCTGAAAGGCTGTCTTGTGGAGAAGGGCTTAGACTTGCTCTGTTTGGCCTGGCGCCCAGCTCCTTGGGGGTGGGGTGGGGGATATTTCCTTGTCTTTTGGATATTTGTTTACCCAAAGCCTAGCACAGTGCCCTACACAGAGGGAGTATTTAATTATTGCTCAACAAACAACTTTCCCACCACTTTTATGATCCACATACACTTACAGAGAGATCGCCAATATATAAAGCAAACTCATAAAAACTAGAAAACTACCTAAATAGATGGGAAATTAGCAGAGGAAAGAAAGTAGAAAAGAGAGAAAAAGGAAACTATAAGGACCAGGACGGAAGTTTTCAAGTACAAGGCTTTTTTCTTCTTTTCCTAAGCACCTGGCACTTGAACCCATTTCCTTGTTACAAGAGGAAAAACCAGAAGCTTCCGTTCAACTGCCCTGCCCTTGGCTACATGCCAGCATTTTAGAATGCAATCACAAAACCACGCCCTGCTCTTTTGCAGGTGAATGCATTCTTAAAGGTGTAAGTTTTCTCCTAACAGACAGCACACAGACTTTGGAGAGAAACATTCCAAAGACTGGAATGTGGCTCCTTTCAGGGCCTTTTACCCAGCCACTTTAAAAAAGAAAGAGGTTCTGACCTTTAAGTAACAATGTTTTGGTCAAGCCCTTTAACACAAAAGAAAGAGAAAGCAGAAAGGATTGCTTGGCAAGTGGTAGATCTAGGGTTTCCTCATTGAAATCACAATCCTAACAAAAGTAGCTCTTTTAATTGTCCAGATCTGGGGAAAATGAAATAAGAAAGGAACTGTCTTCTTTTTGCTGCTTCAGAGAGACAATTTCCCTTTAAAGAGACACACACGGCGTAGATTTTTGTTTTTGTTTGAAGGGGCTGCTTTGTTTTGACTCCAAACTAAAATGCTCTGAAAGGGGCCTTAGAGGCCATCTAGCCCACCTAACCTCCTACCCCCATTTTACAGCTAAGAAAACTGAGTCCCAGAGAGGGGAAGTGACTAAGGTTACACGGTAGCAGTGATGGAATACGCAACCAGGTTCTCTGATTCCACATTCTTTTTTCTACTAAATCTCACTACCTCTGTTAAGCATGGGCCTGAGGTGACTCTTAAAAGAATTCTCAGTCTGAAAGAGAACATGTCTATGGCTAAATCAGTGATGAAGTCTAAGTCATTCCACTTAACCTGTCAAAACAGCATAAAATAGACAGAGGCCAAAAGACCGATATGGTTGTGGAGGGTTATTTACATATTTAATGATGGAAGGAATGAGGTATACCTACTGCTACCACTACCGCTACTACTCATTAATTTAATGTTCTGTATCATGCATTTATTCTGCTATACTGTACTCTAGTCAACAGTTTAAAAGAGTACAAACGCAGGAACGAGAAATATCTAAAGTTCCTGAAATAAGTTGGCCAAAAATTTCCATTTAAAAGTAACTTTCATAAAATTTGGGAGTTTTGTAAATTTAAAGAAAGAATTCATAATCACCCCTTAAACAGATCAGTGCCATTCTGAAGGCAGAGGCATTACTTTTCATTGTCTGCACGCCATCCACTCCTAAGGGTTCAAAATTTCATCAATGAACCCCAAATTTATTTCTTCAGCCCTGAACTGCAGATGGGAATTTCCAACTGCATATTGTATATCTCTTCCTGGATGTTCCACCAGGACCTTATGCCCAATATATCCAAAATCAAAATTACTTTTACTCTCAAACCAGTTAATCTCTCTGACTTTCCTATGTCTTTGAATGGTACCACCATTTTTTCCCAGGATAATCTTTGATTTCTCCCCTATACAATCTATTACTCCTCTGCAATCTCTCAAATAGGTCACCTTTAGAACACCGCCCCCCCCCCCCCCCCAAACAGAGACCTAATCCTCAATAGCTCTCCCTTAGACTCCTATAGTAGCTTCCAGGCTGGTCTCTCCACCCCTTTCCACTGTTCCTATCTAATCTCCAGAGCAGTAATCCTCCTGATACACAGCTCTGATTATCTTTAGGGTGATCAGAGATAATAAAATTGGGACTTGGGCTCATATCTTGACTCTTCCTCAGGTTCTTCATCTGTAAAATGAGGTTGATTAAAATGCAGAGAGACATACATTTTCAGAAATGGCCTATGGAAATTTGTTCTGCTAAAGAATTATGAAGAAAAACAATAATATTTCAGTTCTACTGCTTAGGAACTCAAATGTGGTATGAAGTAGACCCAGGACAACAGGACTATCACCTCTTTTTTCCTAGAAGCTATGCCTCTCTTACTGTCACCCAAGATCACCTAAGCTTTTTGGCTGTCATACCAGTGACTTACACTGAACCCATTACAATACCAGCACTTTAAAAATAATGATGATAATGCTGATATTCATAAGGCACTTCAAGGTTTTCAAAGCACTTTACAGATGTCATCCCGTTTGATCTTCACAACAACTGGGAGGTAGGTGCTATTATCACCATCCCTAACTTGTAGGTGAGGAAACTGAGGCTTAGAGGGCTTAAGCGATTTGCTCCCAAGGTCATACTGACGAGTATCTGCGATGGGATCTGAACTCTGTTCTTTCTGACTCCACGTCTAGCACTCTTATTCATTCTGCCCAGCTGCTTCTCTTTTTAGGCAAACTGCTGTCTCTCTCTCCCCATCTTGTATTTATGAAGTCAATATTCTGAACCCAACTATAAGACTTTACATTTATCCCTACTGAATTTCATGTTATTAGATTTAGCCCAATGTTCCAGCCTGGCAAGATTTTTCTGGATCCTGGCTCAATCATCCAGTGTGTTAGCCAGGCCTCCTTGGCAGTGTATCCTCTTCAAATCTGATTAGGATGTCCTATATAGCTTTATCTAAGCCACTAAAAACAAATGTTAAACAACACAAGGCCGAGCTCGGATCCCTGGGTCACTCTAACAAAGTTCACCTTTCCAGCTGACAGAGAACCATTAACAACCATCCTTTGGGTCTGAATACTTAAGCAGT